CTATAGATTTTGAGTCCTCGTCGTTACTTTCAGCTATTTCCATGATGATTTTTTCCATGATATTCTATATATCTTTGCTCAACGAATGTGACCAACTTGTGGAGACGACAGTGGAGTTCCACACAAGTTCGCCACACGATGGCGAAAGTCGTCAAGGATTCATCTGAAAGTGCCAGCATTTCCAAAATTCTTATATTAGAATCAATGAAATGAAGGACACAAAAGAATCTGTTGTTCTGTATCTATAGAGTAGGGAGGGTGTCCAAGGTGAACAGGCATCTGGAAGACATCTCTTTTATATCGTAGGCGTAGGTGTAGGCCAAGACTCGGCGAACACACACTCTCTTATTGATGATAACTCCGGACATTCCCACACATCCTGCATAGAGGTGTGTCCACTAGCCCCATATCGTGGAAGTTTTTCCTTAATTGACAGTGGCCAGTCAGAAATTCTACTGTTAAGCGCAGATTTTTCCTGGTCATTGCCAGATATGTCTTCGGTGCCAGTTTTCAGGGTGACCCAGGTTGATCCAGCCAAGATTGCAATCTTTGATTTCATCCCATCTCTTCAGGGATTGAGCATGGGTGTGACGTTTGGCTAGTTCCGTAATCCTTAGGCATAGTGATCTGGAGTACACTCCAAATCCTGCGCCTTCTTTGGTTTTTGAGCCGTCTGTATATATACGTATTGCATTTGTAGCATCTGACTCAGTGTTCTGTTTTATTTGTATTTTGTAGGGTTTATTGAACACAAACCTGGGTTCTGTTGTTCTTGAGCTTCCGAAATATACTATTTGCATTAATTCAATCTACGTTTTATACTTCTACTCTCTCTTAATAACTATAGCCTAACGATGAATTGAAGCATTTTATTTCGAATAATAGTTGTCTGACTGAGTTTCTTTGACATTTTTTCTGCACTTTGTTGAGACCGAACTGAAATGAAATATTTGCTGTATTTCATAATTTGACGGGAACGTTCATAATTAGGGAAACGAGAAAGTGTTTATGATTGCAAAAGAAGTTCGCCTTCCAGAAATGTTCATTAGGCAGTGAAAATTATCCATGCTTAATTATGTTTCCTTTGAGTTCTTTCTTACACCATCAGCGATATTATTTTGAACTGACATAAAATCTCTGGAAGAGGCAACCGTTAACAATGGTAACCCTAGTATTCACTGCGAATTCTATGAATATCATGGTTGTGTGAAGCCAGGAATGGCAGGAAAGGGTGCAACTTAGTGTTGTAATTTTTTCGTGAGATGAAAAATGTCTTATCTAAATAATCTAAAAAGAATTTCACGTGTCCAGCTTGTAGAATTTAGGAAGAGCTTTCTGAATTTCGATATGGTGCTGCCCACTAAATGCGCGTTAGAAGACGCTCAGTTGCAATAAAAATATTGTAGTACATCAGCCAGTTTCCATGTTCTTTCATCCTTTTGCGTACTAACACAGAAAAAGCAGAATTCTTGAGTTTTTCTTAGATTTGGCAAGCTGTATATTATCAACATTGATTATGAAACTATTCAGTTGAATACGAATTGACAGCATGACTTCTAGCTGATAACAGAAAACTACGTTTATCTTATAAATTCGTAACGAAACAGATACTTTGATTGGATTCTCATTCATTATAGAAACGGTTGAGTTAACTAGCCTTTTGTTGCTATTTTTGACATAACTGAAAGTACCCTCTGAAAGAAATCCAAATATGAAAAACAATATTTGCCATTTCATTGAAGAAACTAACTTTGATATGCCAGGCTTTTACTCGTTATCCTGATATTGGTGATTGATTCATAAAACCCTAGTGCATTATTCTCCAAAACTTTCATGGAAAAAATATTGCTTGATGATTGGTATCATTGCTGAGATGCAATGATATCAAAGACCTAGGGGTAATATTTGACTAAAATTTTCCATTTGCAAGATATATTTTACGAAAAGTTCCTGAATCCTCGAGAGCTTATGGTTTTATTGTTAAAAATTGCAGAACATTTCATAATATTGAATCTATGGAGCTGTTGTATCACACCTACGTACGTTCGAATATTCAATATGCAAGTATCGTCTGGAACCATTCTATGAGATTTATAATCTATGCATTGAAAGAGTTCAGAGAAAGTTTTCTTTATTTTCCAGAATACATGGTTCTTACCTTGAGATAGGTATTAGTAATGATGAAATATACGAACGTTTGGAACTTTTTAGTTTTGAACATCGCGGAAATTGTGCATCGCCATTCCGTTCAGCCTATTCCCAAAAAAGGGCAAGAAAAATCTTTCAAATAACTATATACTAGTCGTTTTGCTATCAATGATATCCAAAATCATGAAGAAAGCCGTAAACCATACTCAACTGGCGACCTTCTATCGTATGAAGAAATGTTGGAATTCCAACATTTTGAGGTCATGTGTTTTAAAATTATATTACAGAAGATCACTGAATTCATATACTGTGTTTATCGACCACCTAGCGATACACTATTCTCTTTACTTGAAAACACCATTGACTTTCTGCAAATCAATCATCCTAGTACCAAAATTTCCATATTCGGTGACTTTATTCTCCACAATATCGAATTACCTATCAGTGATTAAAAAATCATGTGGAAAACTGTATACCACCTTACCCTCGAATATATGGAAGGTTTTACATCTTGAGCGATCTTCAATATGGATGTCGGTATCAAAGATCAACAGACGACCTTCTGTAGTATGTCATCCATATTTGGGTAAACTTCGATGCTATGGCTTGTCAGACAATTTTTCTTTATGGCTCTTCAGCTTCCTGAAAGGACGTTTCTTGCAAGATTATTATTTTCATCAGTGCATTTAGTGGAGCCTCTGGAGACACCTTACATTTTGTTTTATGAGAGAGAGGATATTGGCAGATCAAGATCTTTAGATGATGTGGTGCTGCAAAGTCACCCCGGAACGCCAATTGATTTTTGTTGTTGTTTTATAATTTCATGATATGTATTATAGAATTTGAAAATTGATGACACTTATTTATCATTACCTCAAAACTCCAAAACAATATAAACCAAATGTTATAAACTAGACACTGAAATTGAAGATAATGAAATTGATGCATGAATAATTTATTTTGAAGTGAAATTGACAGATGGCGACTGGGCGCCATCTGGGAGAAAAATTAAAAAGGGAGGTCTTGTGACACATCATTTTGGAGCTCCTGACAAATGCTTCACATCCCTAGAATATATTGTCAATATTTTCAACTACTAAAAAATTGCGGAACATTTAATACTTGCCTGCATACTCTGACATTTAACTACATAATATGAGGTACTAAGCTTGAGGTCACTTCAGAAAATGCTTGAAATGGTTGCCTTGAACTTCCTGACACATGAACAGCCTCCGATATTTCACGCCAAACATTTTCGAACACAGTAACGTCAATACCTCTACAAATATTTATTATTCTCTGCCGTATATCCAATATTGGAACAGGATCAGTTTCATACACCTTTTGCTCCAAATAGCCCTATAAAAAAAGTCCAAAGGTGTTAAATCTAGCGAGCGGGCTGGCCATTCTGTACAACCTCGATGGCCAATCCAACGACCGGGAAAACTAGTATCAAAATAGTTTCTTACTTGTCTGGAGTAATGTGGTGGTGCTCCATCTTGTTGGAATACAATATCCATATCGAATTCAGTAGGATTCGCTTCGACGATTTCAGTGATGAGATAGTCAAGAGTAGTTTCCAGAATATTCAAATACAGTTCCCCTGTTGAATTTTGATCAGTAAATAGAGGTCCTACAACATAGTTTCCCAATATTTCTTCCCAAACGTTAATTTTTTCTGGATATTGGGTATGTGTTTCCCGGAAAACGTGAGGGTTGGTGACACTTCAATAACCGCAATTTTGCCTGGGCACATTGCCGTTTAAAAAAATGTGCATTCTTCACTGAAAGAAATATAGTGGAGATAGGTAGGATGCTCTGCAATGGTTTCCGCCATGATTCCGCAGAATTCTGTTTTTCGATCAGGCTCATCTTCAGTTAATTGGTGTACGATTTTAATTTTGTATAGATCATAGATATTCCTCTTCAGAAGCCTCCACACAGTAGAAGGAGACACCCCACAAACATTTGCGACGGAATAAGTAGACTGTTCAGGATTCACTACCATCTCATCAATTATTATTTGCACTTGCTGTTCTTCCGGATTGGACGGATGACCTGGTGGCTTTTTGTTAAGTACACTATCGGTAGTTGTGAATTTGTATGTTTCCTCAAATATTTTCTACAGGTAGGACGATTCGGAAAACGTTCAATGAAAATCCTTTCGGTCTCGTAAAAGTTACACGTCGCACCGTAAGTGAAAATTGCTTCAATTTTTTCTTCCAATAGACGAGAATTGGCCATTTTTGAGATTGTTGACATGGTACCTTTCTACTAGTAAAACAGAAAACTACATGAGAATATTCTAACTGAACAATGATGTTCATTGTCGTACTGACATTTTTTTTCGATTTTATAAACAAAAAAAAACTCAAGAAAACGTATGAGGTTGTTGGAATTGCCATATGGCAGATAAAAAGGAATATTTCTAGAAATATCGATATTAATGTGTTTGTATTCAAGAAATTACATGTACCGCCATTTTGTAGTAGGTGGAGATATTGACTTCATATTGTAGAATTGTGAAGTATTCGTCAGGAGCTTCAAAATGATGTGTCAGAAGACCCCCCTTTCCATTCAATTTTTTTCCTAGATCGCGCCCAGTCGGCATCTTGAAAGTTTTATCTATCATTTTTACTTCAAAATAAAGTACTCGTGCATTAATTTCATTATGTCAAGTTTCAATTCCTTGGTTCGACCCGTTCAAAAAATAAAAGGTGTGGGACATTAAATATACTGTATATTGAATTGATCGTTGAAAAACTCAATAATCATCGTGATGGTGTTTTGAATAGTAGAAAATTCTGTATATTACTAGGTGTGACTGAATTTTTGAATTTCTTTTCTTTCAGACATCCCTCTTGGAGATCCAGTTCTTGATACTGAGAAAGAATTATTGGAAGTAGGAGCAACACTGAAGGGAAACTGTTCCTCAGCCCCCTCCTATCCAGCTGCCAACATCACGTGGTTTCTCAATGGAAAACAGGTGGGAGAGCAAGAATTCAAAATATCGAATACCAATGATTGATTATTCATAAAACCATATTTTCATATTTTGCTTTGAGGGAAATGATCGTTTGTATTTGTGATTTTTTTATCGAGGGTATAATCATCTGTGCCTAATCTCAACTATATCACTTTTTCTTATCCAGAAGAATGAGATCCAACCCTTGGAATTGAAATAGGATTAGAGGGTTACACTCGCTTTGAACCTAATCCTGATCTGAGCTATTTGGAAGTTCGAAAACTACTGAAATTCGTTATCAATATTATGTGGGGAATATTGAGAAAGTCATTTCTTCCTGGATATAGCTTTCATTTCTTGATCTTACAGAAAGGGGTGAGAAGTTGGATATCGTGGGTCCTGCGGTCCATTCTACTGATCCTCTTTGATTGATTCATCTACCTGAAAAGGTTTCATACAAATTTTAACTATCAGTGAAGCTATAGTGCAGTGGTGCTTCGTCTTGGTGAAATGTCAACCCATTTCCATTGGTGATTCAGTACTCTTGTGGGATTTTCTGATAGATAGAAGGAACAACAATATAGTCGTCTTGAATTCCATACCACACGTTTAGCTACTCGGAAAACTCTGTGTGAAATTCTTGAACTGAGTGTGTGTTGTCTTGAGATCAATTCAAATCCCACTGAATAATTCCATGGGTCAACTGCATTCAATTTGTACACAAGATGAAATACGAGTTTACTTTTTCTTTGCTTACCCATGAACCCTTTGTCCCTTTCCTACCTGTAGATATGGTCATCATCCTGAAGCTATGTGTGCTTTCAAGCAGCTCGTCATTTCTTTTCTCAGACTGCCTTTCTGAAAAAGGAAATCTCAAAATGAAGCGCTACTAGAATACGTCATATACGAAGTATCGACCAACTCAAAGTTTCTGAACTTATTTTGAAAGTGTACTTCGATGTTACGTGAACCGTGAACAATTTTGATGTTCGTTTCTGCACATATTCTGAAATTTTCCGCGATCTTATGTACCTACCATGGTGAGTTTTTTTGACTGAATTGGCTATTTCTTGCATACCTTGTTATTACAAGATTCAGAGTGTCTTCACACTGTTTGGTTATCGTAGTTTGAATTATTACTAAACGGGCACCCTATCATGATTGTTAATAGCAGACGTTCACTTAATTTTGGCACCAAAGCAGCATATGATGTGATGGTTTGAACCCCTGATATGTATTGGCGATTCATCATGACTGATTTTGGCACCCATGTCTTCTCATATGTGCGACTGACCCTCAATCCAGCATAAGTGTTTTCACCACTATTTTTTCGCTCTGTTTCAATGTTGGTTCTAGGTCAGTATCGGAACTAGTATCATTCCCAGACATTCAACCCTTCCCGTAACACCGTAACACCGAACTAGTGGGATGAGAGAATCGCACAGTCGCTTGCGCGTGGCAGCCAATCGCCACGACATGCGTCGCCACGCTAGAAATCGGTTTTACATTCGCCTGGCGATGTTCCACATCAAAAACCTGTTTGAAATATATTTTTTTTTGTCCTGGACTAATGCCTAATTTCTACCTTTATGTTTCATAGGTACATTTGACTGACACAATAACTCTATGTAACGTTCAATCCACAAAAACATCATTTTTCAGGTTAATGATTCGTTCGTCAAAAGATCCCAGCGACAGCATCCCTTCGAAAGTCGAAGAGCAACCCCGGGCACCAACAATCGTCGAGTTCCGCTAATAACCGATTCAGCCCTGGAGCTGGAGATGGATGGAAATACATTTCATGCAGGGAAAGCGAAATTAGTATGCAAGGCCAGTATATTCAATTTATACCAGAAGGAAAAGGGAATTATCCTGGAGGAGGAGAGGCCGAAACCTAGACCGTCATCGGTGTTGAGCAACCGTGAAGACAAGTCAGGTGAGAGATGATGTACGGGGGAAATGCATGGGTGAGATTTCAGATGAAGATATCAGGCAAGGCCAATTTCGAGATAAGTTACATTCTTTATTTTAGAGTCATTTCTTCAGCAAGTTTTCAATATTTGGATATTTGGTGCAGATTCAGTTTGGCTATCGAACAGAAAAACTGATTGAAGTCAATATTTTAATATTTATAAAATAGGTATCCAGCTTATGAGTTTCAAAATATTTTCAATAAAAGAGACTATTGATTGTGACTATTATTATTTGCAATCTTCTTCGATTGTTTCCTACTTGAAACAGGTTCCCTGATTTATCATGAATCATATGACAGCTTTTTTATTGACACAAGCACTACAGGAAAATCTTTAAGACGCTCTCAGAGCGGTGCCTGTGCAAAAGTAGTGATTAATGTTGGATTTGAATCGCTGATGGTTAAATTCACTGAGTTGAACCTCAGAACGCTGAGCAGCCACAATCTTTCGAGTAATTCTGATATGTACTACTCTTAGTGAAATAAAATTTGCCAAGTTATTTGAACATCTATAAAAGAGAGACAATTCTCCCACCTTTCTTCGATGTTCCAGATTATCAAGATTGCAAGTGATATTCGTGTGTCAAATCAGGCGGATGGCTATTTTCTGAAAGGAATTCGGCAGCTTCAGGGTATGCTTAAGGGCGTAGCTCAATACATGAGAACAATACTCCAGTAAAGATCTGATTTGAGCTTCATAAAGCATCAAAAGTTGCTGGAGTTTGTACAGTTTTCTGGTTCGGAATAGTATTCCAAGCTTTTGAGAAGCAGCTTTTGCAATTACAGCAACATGATTGTGCCAAGACATATTGGTATCCATTTTGACCACCATCTGTATCTGTAGAATAGGGAAGAGATTGTAGGCCTACAACACTTAGGCATATGTGACCCATTGTACAACCTCCCGAGAAGTTGTCCTCCTAGGTCATCGTCCATCCTGTCTTTTCCAGGAAGGTGGATAGGTCACTAGTAGGCATCTCCTTTATATTAGCAGGTGTAGGCCAAGACTCGCCGAACACACACTGTCTTATTGACGATACCTCCGGAGGTATTTCCTGGACAGTCAGAAATCCTACTATTAATCGTAGATTTTTCCTGGTCATCGCCAGATATTTCTTCGGCGCCAGCTTCCCAGGGTCGCCCAGGGTGATCCTGGCAAGATTGCATCCTTTGATTTCATCCAATCTCTTTAGGGATTGAGTATAGGTTTAACGTTTGGCTAGTTCCGCAATCGTCAAAGTCATCAGGCCGTAAGTGCCACTGGGTCTCAAAATTCTTAGTCCAGCCGCTTCTTTGGCTAAAGAGTCGGCAATGCGATTACCTTCACTCCTGTCGTGCCTTTCAATCCACCTCAGTATAACGTTTCCTTCAAATTTTTTATTGCCACGATGGATACAGCCAGTTCGGTTGTATCCATCGTGGCCTTGCCTCCGCAAGGGCGCGGATCATTAGGACAAAAACTATTTGGCCTTTTGGAAGTTCTAATGGGTGGTATCATCGGAAAGAATAAGATATAGAGATCTTACTAGGGCGCTATCTACATCAAATAACAGTTACTAATAATTCTTTTCAATACCAGTCTCTGTAGATGAACTCTATCTACTAATAATAAATAACAGCAATAAATATAAGGCAATTAAGTGAAAAATGAAACGTTACATCAGGATAATGTTATTATCTACCGATGCTTTGGCTAAATCTTGGTGGCACTCTAGTACTAGCCCTATTAGCCCTGAACAGACGTTGTCTGTTCAAGGCTAATAGGGCTTGTCTGTTATGAGTGCAGATTGTTATGTTTTTGCCAGAAATTCTTTTTCTGGTTATTTCGTGTGTGGCGATTGAGATACCAGTTCTATTTGAATCACGTTGTTATTGTATTGTATTATTTTTACCAATTGAGGTTGCTTCTAGAGGTCCATCTGTTCCCCCGCTAGAGGAGAGGCGGCCTTGCTCTATTTAGGTGCCTTCTCCGTCAGGTCATCGACTGTCATATGTTCAGATGCTTCGACTTCCTTTTTGCGACCCATGGTGACTTTGCGATCAATATCCACTTTAGGTGGCTTGACTTCCAAAGACCTAGGATCTCCAGAGGTACCCTCTACCTATCTATGTTGCCCTTATAGTTATAGTCTTTTTCTTGAAGGCAGCCATATCATCGTCTCCGATCCCGAAGACGAAAAGGTGCCCTTTTGGGTTCACCTTCACCTCATGGTGGAAAGTCAGGTCAGGGTTCTGCGCCTTTAGCCGACCCAGAACCCTCTCTTTTTCACTGGAGGTCGTCTTATGGACGTCCACCGGGATCCAGAGCGAGGCTTTGGTAAGTTTTGGGAGCTTATCCACACTGACGGCCGCAAGTGATGCCTTCTCTCACGGCATAGTGTTCATTGTGGCTTTCTTTAGCCATTCTAGCGCCACGTCGTCATCGCAGACCATTCTGATGATTTCACCGGAGTATGTCCACGACTTGAACGTTTGCGGTTTGCTGTTGCTGCGGAGAAGATGATCTTGTCTAGCTTCTCCAGCAGTTAATTTTTGGTGAGACTCTTCAGTTCTGCGGTAACCTTACCGTACGGTTTAGTCTCATCTATGATGGCAACCTTGAGGTGTCTCACGGCGGCCTCCGCGAAGGTTTTGGAAGGTGCAGCGTCATTACTGACATTGCAACTTTAATTCGGTCACTGTACGGTAAAATGCTCAGTAGGCAAAGTTTGCGTATTTGGAGATTGTTTTATATTTCTATATTCTGTGATCATATCAGTTTTGATGTCTATGAACTTGGAATATTAAAAGATGGAATTCTGAATACTGAGTGTTTTTGTTTTAGAATATTGAAACTGAGGTTGAAACATTTTCAATTCATGTATTCGCTTTAATGAATTTGAATTATTTCATGATTATTTTTCATATTCGACAGAAGATCGCCTGTTGATCTTTGTTTGCGAAGCCATATCGGGTTCTCTTGAATAAAAATCCACCTACAGAAATATATGTGATTTGTTTTCCATTTCGAAAAGAAATGTGTATCATTTATCCTTTATTTGTTACAGGGGCATCAAAAATAACCATCTACAATATTCTTCTGGAGTTGCTAGTGATCACCTGCATTTTGAAGCGGTAACAATAGAAATCAGACTTCGACTACTTTTCTTGTATATGAATGGAAGATTGTAACAAGTAGTGCTGTGATTGACTGATATGGAATTGATGAGGGGAATATTGAGACACTTGTGTGAATTATGTCGTCATTAGTGAAATTATTTTGATAGAGGGTATTGAACAGGTGATGAAACGAAATCTTTGAAAGATATGTTTGTGGTTTAAAGACGAAAAATTATCGCTTAATTGAGTATGTTCAAAATTGTGACAACATTGAGTTTTCAGTTGAACTTGATTTTTTATAAACGTACTCAGAGATTATTCGTTCATCAAGATCTTGACACTTACTAAAATTACTACATTTCCATTTTCTATCTCGCAACAGTAAAAAAAAACCTCAATTTTAACATTTGGAATATGATTTTATTCACAAAATCGTAGATTTACATTTGAGATTTGATAGTCCTGTGAAAATTCAAAATAAAAGCTGGAGGGTATAGGTTTCCTGTAAATATTTGAAATTTACTCATAGTTAATTGTAACTGGTATTCGTAATGTACCCATCTACACCGAATTCCTTCCATTGCAAACCTTTAAAACAACTTATTTTATAAGTTTTATGTTAATTGTATTATAATAATAAAGATGTATTTCCTGTTCGTGCATTTTTGTTAAATATGTTCCTTTCATTCCGTGGGAATAGGGGTGAATCCTTTAACGAATAGAAGTCGAGAAAACCCAGTGGCGTACTTAATTCATGAAATTTTTTTGAAGACTATATTATTCACAAAAATACAGTGAAGACTGAAAATTGTGGACCAAAAAAAAACATCAAAAAACATGAAAGATAAGAAAAAATTAACAGATGTGTTATCAATAAAACAACACACTTTTAAAATTACTTGACATGAATCGTAATACACATCGTGGTATACCAAATGACTAGAATTTGTATGCAAAATACTCTTCCAAACTGTAGAAGCACTTTCCCAAAACAAGGTTCTGTACTGATTTTCTAAATTTTTCAAGTTCATTAATTGATGTAATATGTTTTGGTAGTTATATATTTGTCTACTTCTATAGATTTGAGACAGCCTGGTCAAAGATGATGTGGGCAGTGGAAGGGTAAGTTTTTTATCGTTATGCGTAGACCTTTCTGTATGGCTTTCAAACTTTCCTTTTTGTTTGTGAAGTGAGCAAACATTCTCTAAAGTGAAACGAGACTCGCATTTTCAATTTGAATGTTATTCCTGCCTGAGTCCCAAAAAGGAATTCCATACCGTAGATCTCCATTTATTGCTGCTGCAAATCCGAATTCACTAGATATGACATTTAAAGCAATCAGAAGACAATTTCTTTTTAAAGCAGTAATTTGCGTATCAAATTTTAAATGACTGTCAATGAATATACCAAGAAAGTTACAGGCTTACTTTCAATCATGTGTTCACCTAATATTACTTTTTCTAAGTCCTATTTGAATATTATCAGATTTGTTTTAGAAACATTTCTGAATCTGAGTGGATAGACCTAGTTAAAATACCCATCTTTATTACGCCAAAGTACCGTAGTGTCATCCGCAAACAAGATAAATGCTCCAGATATATCAAGTTTTGCCATATCGTTAATATAAAGTAAGAATAACATTGGACCTAGGACTGACCCCTGAGGAACTCCGCGTACAAATTTTCCACTATCAGAAGTGTTGTTGCTCAATGTTATTTTTCACTTCTACCAGTAATATAAGATCTGAACCATTCTAAGACTAGAAAGGTCCCAAAATACTGCCGCCGCCACTTCTTTATCATTTAGGGTCGTGTAGACGTTTTTGAGGAAATGAAAGATGGCGTTATTCGTGTTTTTTGTGTCAGAAGGCTAATTTTATGTTTTTCCAAGAAACCCTATTTTCCTACTCTTGACTAGTTTTTCGAAGATCCTTGATAATGTTGATAAAATTGAGATCGGTCTGAAATTGCTGGGGTTATCAATGGCACCTCCTTTGTAAAGCGGTATCACTTTTGCTGATTTCAAACTAGACACCAGTAGTAAACGACGAGTTTATAGCTATTACTAAAGCTTGAAGAACTTCATCAGGCAATTGTAGAAACATTTTTACTGATAAGTTGTCTTCACCAGCAGAATTTTTGTTTTTTATTATATAAATACAAGAAATTCATCTTACTCAAATTTTGAAGTGTCAACTGTTGGAATGATATCGTTGGTTAATTTTGAGGCTATTGAACAATAATAATCATTTAACTGATACAGGTTTATTTTTATTTTCGGACGGTTCTGCTTCATATTCCTTATGTACAATAGTACACTCGATATGTACAGCTTGACAAATTTAGCTGGTAACAGTTCATTACCTACTTGTATAAATTCCGCAAGTATTGACAACTACACATAAATGAGTAGGGAACAGGAAATCCAACTCTTTCTTTCGGATGTGATGAAAGATAATGACTGATATTGTAAAATTTCTTGTTTCTATGAAAATATTTCCGAAGCACTTTTTCACCGCTACAACCGCTACGATTTTTATAATACTTGGGCATAACAAATCCTCATACTGTTGTGGAGCGAAGAAGTCAAAGAAGATTTGGATAAAATTGGTATTTTCAGCTACTCATTACATTTTTCAATATTATTTGTTCTTTCAGAGATTTCAAATCAAATTATATCATATTAGACAATGGAAATCCAAACCAGTAAAATTCACCTTGTAACATTGTCAACCACTTTCAAATAAATCGTTTCTCTTTGATATAAAAATGAATATATGCATCTACGTAAAATTGCCAATGGGGAATGTTCGTCCTGACGAAAATCAAGTAGTTTTCATAAAAGAGCTCTAAAACAACGCATTTTGAACTTATCATTTCAACCTTTTTCTTTAAAAAAAAGTTTGAATACTTAAAAAAGAAGAATGAAATGATGCATTCAACATTTAAAGGGGTTCGTTTCTATTTCACCATTTGGCAACATCGGTTATAGCTAATAAAGGACAATGAATCTGTTACCTGTATGAGACAAATAAAGATGACATATTCCAGAGGCGTGCTGTTCTGTTTACTTATGTTCCGAGTTCCGAGACATTCTGTGACATATGACATTTTCATATATAAATAAATAACAAAACAACTACTGTTGTTTATGCGGCATGTGAAGGTGGTATTGAACTATAATTTATATTTTGCCTTAATTGTTGATTTATAAAGATAATTTTCCTTTTTTAAAGTAGAATAAATACGTATAAATTATTTCAACTTGATATAGACGCTGTTGCCAATATGTGAATTAGAAACAAATCCCTTTGAAAATTAAAACACAACATTTGAAACATCAATTTGAATACTTTTCGAAGTGAATTTGAAAAACTCATGAATTAAACTCAACTTTATTTTGTTCAAACTTGCATTTGCTGTAATAACCCAAATTGAGGAACATTCCCCATTCTATCGACATGAGTAGCGAAACAATGGAAACTCACTTAACATGAACAACAGTTCCAAAAATGATAGCGAATATAGCTCACCCACTCTTCAACTGAGGAACGTAATTTTGTTGTTGTTGTGTTTGTTGTTGTGCTTCCGGTTCGATTTTTCCGAAATAAACATTCTTGTGGTCTACTAGAATTCCAAACTGCATTAAATTACCCGTGTTTCGGATATCCGCTCGCCGATGTACCGGCGTATTTATGGGTCACCAGAAAGGTTATCTGCTCTAGGTAGCACAGTTGCTAATGATGCAGCGAGTTTCCCGCTAATCCGGAATATATTTCGAATGGTCCTTATGATAAAATCGTTGGATAAGATACGACGGTATCCAGAAATGCAGTGTCAGATTTTGTTGGTCGATTACCACAAATCGTTAACAAGAGAATAGGGTTGAATAACCTAGAACGTTTATTCGAGGTTTCACCGATGTTTTTACGTTTTTCCAATCCTTAACTGACAACAATTGAACACAAATAAACATACAGAATGATGAATGTTGAGTAAAAAATTCTCGACACTTCTACAGGTCGGAAACTCGACTTCGTCTACATGCAACGTGCATTGGACGACCTCGAGCGCTGACTGGTACCTCGTATGGAAGATCCGAGTGAACCCGAAAAAAACTCAGGCGATAACCATGGAAAGAATGTTATCTTCTCCGGCCAGAAAAGTGAGGATCTCTGTAGGGAGATCGACTGGCAAGCACCATACCATGATCAGTTACGACACGTTTGTCCTTCTAACAAACACCAGTAGAAAGAGTAAGGGAGACAGGCTCCAACTTGATTGAACCAAGATGGCTGTCGGAAAATATGCGAGATATTTTCCATTCTCACCTCAGATTGTCTTCACTTGGATTCAATGGTACTAAGTCGCCATCACCACTGGAAGAACCAATCAAGAAGTAGTTCGAAGTAAGTGACCCTGCATCGGTAGGGTTAGTCGATACTCTTATGAAGGTCGTGAGTTCAAGATCTATTCCGTTTTGGCAGAAAAATTTGGAATGTTTCTTTTCGAAGAATCTGATGATGGAAAACTTCGCCAATAGTTCTTTTCCAGTTGCTATTAAAATCTTTGAAGTTTTTAGGATATTTGAGTTCTTTATAGAGTTAGGTGGAAGGATAACAGGGATTCCACGTGTACTAGAGTGATATCCTTTCCATTTTAATCGATTAGTCTCGCGATTCAACGGGAAAATGCAGCTTGTGTTTTAGGAACCATTTTTGTTTTGTGTCAGCTAGACGAACGTTTTTAAGTCTCCAAACTCAGCGTGGGAGACGAAGAAAGAGTGGTTCTTGAAGTTTTCTGAAGAACAATTCTCTATAATCCATTTTCTATACAAATGAAGAAACGAGGCATCAACAGAAAAAAGTGACTACTGATGAAATCTTAATTCGCCCCAAAAATCTGTATATTGTATCTATATATTACCTTCTCGAATACCCTACCAGCTTTTAAATAGGACAGACAGGAGTGGGTATTGAGAAAGAAGACAGTATTATAATGATTTGCGAATCCTTTATTGATGAAAGTTATGGGAAACAAAGCATCGGTAAAATATACCGTTGGACAATTACAATTTTAACAAATAAAGAAGGTAACAAAAAACCTCAAATTTTACTCGTTGATGAATAAAGCAAAGTTTGAACAAGGAAATACGCGTTTTATTGTATAGGCCCGGAACTTCTCAGTCCAGGTGTAGCTGAGGAAAGGCTTTACAATTCCACTACAATACACTGCATGAATACAATTGGAACTTAGTAAAATTACTTTCCAGCTAGGTGGTGGGGTAACGCGGAAGGACCTTTTTGAACTCTGGACTCCTATGGTGTCAATTTCGAAAAATTTCTTTTGCTCTGTATCTTCGAAAAAAAAGTTTCTCAGAAAACCATAAGGTGATTTCTGAAGTTTAATATTTATCCGAAAGAGTTATCGGCTCTTTTGTTAACTGATTTGTTTGTTGCTGTTTGGATTACATTTTTCCATTGCTGTCTTGAAAAGTCTTAATATTGCCATACAAGATATAAAAGTGTTCGGATTCGCAAAATATGGATAGGAAAAAAAATGAAAGACTAAAATAACGACCCTACATTTCAACCAGCCTGACAAATTCGCAGAAAACGCGGTCATCCAATTTATTATTGAAGTTTCCGGTCAGCATAAACTGTAAAGATTCACGCCAAACTTGTTTTCGAACAACTTCTTTGCGATTAGATACTTCTTTAACTGCTCAACTTTCCACCTAGCGGTATATAAGAAATCCATGGAGCATAAATTCGAGGAGAAGTTTTTCTGGATAGAGCGAAATCTTTATTTTCGAAGTTTTCCAATGAGAAATAAAATATTGGTTGTTCCATGTTTTAGATTGTCTTCGGATTCGCACTTCTCGGTTATTTTTATGTAATGTGCGGCCGATGAAATAGATATTTATTTCCATATCACAATGCGAATTATTTGGAAAAACCAACAATGCGAGGAAGGTCAGTCTATAAAAGGATATCATACACGACATCATACTTGATTTGCATTGACTTAGACATGATTTCATGAACGTTCTTTTCAAAAAAGCAGATGGTTTTCTTGTCGGAAGTTATTAAAATGGCGAACGCCATCGGTGAATTCTGTTCTATCTAATATATAAAATTCTCGTGTCACAGTTCGACCGATTTCCATGGAATTTTATATGTATGTGTGGTAGGTCTGAGAATAGGTTCATACCTTTGAGTGATAAGGGTGTTGCACTCCAAACTCAGAACAGAGAAAGGATGAGATCGAAGCCGGTCTCCTCTTTCTCTCACACACACAATTAACCTTTTATCATTCCCTACACAGTTTATGGCCACTGTATTGCTCATCCATTGAGCGTAGATACAGTTTGCGATACCACCGAAGCTGTGGATTATGCCACAGAAGTTTTGAACTCATTGGATTTGCCAGGTATGCCACAGCATAATTAACAGCTGAAGGTTGGATCGCTCCATAATCTGAATCCACCACGGCTGTGCAACAGCACTCGATTAGTCATCGAAAAATTAATAAAAAACTTTGTCGAAGCCAGCATTTCAAATAACAAATGCTTAGATGAAAATATATTGATACCACGAATCTCTATTATACCTACAGATGTGCTAATTTATTTCAAACGTGTGCCATTCCCAATTGAATTGACATTTGCTATGACTATTAATAAGTCTTAAGGCCAAAAATGTCTGTTTGTGGCTTGGATTCGAGCACACCATCTTTTTACATGGACAATTATACGTAATGTGCTCTCGAGTGGACAAACTATTCAGTTTGTGTTAGCTAAACATGGATTACCAGGACTAACGGAATAAAGGATTAATATTATTTGTAAGCGTTATTGTTCTGGCACAGACCTACAATGGGTTAGTTATTATTTCCTACCCAAATTCTTTAGAAACGATTTATGTGGCAAAATAACGTTTACTGGGTCAGCTAGCCACATAGCAATAGATATTTCAGGAATATTTCATGAATATAGATTCAAGGATATTGTACCTATTATGCAAGATCCACACAAGTAATAAAATACATAATATCGATAAACAAATATATTTAGATTTGAAGCTTTATATCTTCTATTAATTATTTGCGAGCGCTTTCGATAGCTGGTCGTACTGTCATCTTCTAGGCACTCCTCAAACTGAACTGGTCATCCTGTTGTCTGCCTCTTTATATGGTCAGAGCGTCTCAACTCAGGTATTTCAGGTACTTCAGGTTAATTTGCCTGTATTTGCTGGTCATGGTTTTGATGGATGCAGTTGATCATTACCATAGTAACGAAATTTGGACTAACAGCGATTTGAAGAAATGCTAAACTATCACAGAGGATTTGATTTTGGCTTATTGGCGCGAAAATCTGAAGCATATCTGGAGCATTTGTTGAAAAGTACCATTTTAGTGAAGAAAAATGTAAATACAGCCACTTTTTCCAAGGTCAACCATCGCATTTCATGAAATGAATGATGTTGGTTATATAGTAAAGAAACAGATCAACAAATTCATTAGGGAAGCAAATAATGAAACATATCTGAAATATGTTTTCTGTTATTCCGTTAACCAGCTACCGCCCCCTCGCGATAGCTCGAACAAGTCAAAATTTGAGGTTCAACTCAGTACACCTCGAACTCCACTGTTTAAGAATTCTTTCATTTTGAGACAGGCGTTCATGTGGAATAAACTTCCTCAGAATGTTTTTCCAAATTAATTCAGTCTTCAGCGATTCAAATCCAATGTGAATTGCTGTATTTTCCTGTATTCAGTGTAGTGCTCCAATTGTGGATTACTTTGTGTGCGATTTCGAATCAAATGACACCTCAATGACACTCGTGGAGTAAACTGTCATGAGAGTATTTCACACCGATATCGGTTGAAAGCTAGCCATTCATTGAACCTGTCGAACAGCCCTACTCGGGAGAGATCAGCTACCGCCCCGCGGAAGAAAAGAATCCATTATCGCGCCCATAATGGGGTGCTCCCGGGAGGCGTCAAAGGCATTCGAGTACGACGATAATACGAGGAACGAGTGTTATATGACCACTGTGAAGTAAATTGAATTTTGCGCACGCGTGCACTTGCAACTGAATCTAATTGCTTCTCGAGTATCTTGGAAAATATAAATTCCCGACCGAGGAAATCTATTATGGACGGGGACAAGTGATTTAGTATGTGTGTAGTCACCCCTCGGTTGATCGATACTACGTTTCGTTTTTCTCGGGGGATTGGAAAGAATCTCTCTTGAAATTTATCAGTATAACTACGAGAGTGGTATGAGAAGTTTCCGACCTAACAAAGACACAAGACATGTTTTCAGATTTTTGAAGTGATAACTTCTTATGAGAGGGTAAATCGCTTCGTGGGCTCGATGGTCTGAGAGGCATGAGTCTATAACATTTGAGGTATAGTTTAGTTCCTTTCTGATAATAATATTATCAATACATGTTCCAGATCTGTTGGTTACACGAGTATATTCATTAATAGTTAGGACAGCGTCAAAACAGTTCAAGATATCTAACAATTCAGATTTATCTTTTGATTCTACCATAAAATTCAAATTAAAGTCCCCAGCTGTAATGAACAAGCCATTACTTCTTAGGAGTAAGGAAAGTAAAGAGAACATTTTCTCAAGAAACAATGAAAAATCACCATTTGGGGGGCGATATATACATACTATAAGGTATATAGAATTGTCCAGATGAAATTCAGCACCAGCACACTCAAAATTGTTTGTGGTTGATAAGTCACAAATATCTTTTCTCGAATGCCCTTCAATAAAATCCTTGCAGTAAATAGCAACATCACCATGTCTAACTTCTTCACGACAAAAACTAGATATCAATTTATAACTATTTACAACAATAACATTCAGTTCATCTTCAAAGCACCAATGCTTGGTGAGGCATAAGAAATGTATATCATAATCCATTAAAAATATTTCTAGTTCATTTGTACTGGTTCTCAGGCACTGAATGCTTTGATGTAGAAGACTTTTATTGTTTGATGGAAGAGTCAAGGAATTTTCAGCTAGAATAGAATTTGAGATAGTCTGGGGTATAAAAAATTTTGTGCATTGGTTTCATAGAGGGTTTTCTCTAGCTGAGAGAGCTGTCGCGGACTTCCATCCTCCGTGCTTCTTAATATCCGTTATATTTGCTCCTGATTCTGTGGAAGATTCCCACAGAATAAGGAGTATCAAGATGGAGCAATAGAAAGCCAATAACTTTCTTTCCCAAAAATTAATCACTCCTAGAAATATAACCTCTTCAATTCAAAGCAGAAGACCTTCTGAAACAGTAACCTGTATTTTCCTTTTGTTCCCGGAGGTTCAGAAACTCAATAGAGATTCGAAAACATAAGGATAATTTCAATAGAAAAAAAGAGGCAATGAACATAAACCGTTACCACATCGCTGTTGATAATGTATATCGCACTAGTAGACGAAACGTTAGGCATAAAAATATACCTTGAAGTTTGAACCTATGACTGGGATTGAATCAAGTAAGCGTATGAATGATTTCATGTCCTGTCATCGTGACATGGGTAGATTTTTTTCTCATCTGTGACAGAAAGTTTTAATGTTCTGAATGAAATGAGTGCTTCATATCTGATGGAATTGACCAATAATCATAAAAAAGCATTATGCATTTGAGTGACATGTTATTTTGGGATTTTTACTGACCTTTCACAGGCCTTTGGGCTTGGGTAACGAAGGTAAAGGCATTATTCATTCGTTCATTCATTAAAAGATCCATGAAAGTACGCACCGAATCGCATAGAGAGCTCGTATTTTAGTCAATGAATATTTGTACAATAAATACGTGTATATTTCAAACTAGTTTGATTTTCAGGATACTTCCAAGTGGATTCAATGATTCTGTGAACCAAGCTGGAATTAATTACTACCGAAACTTGCTCAGTGAATTGCGGAATAAAAATATAATCCCAATGGTTACTTTGTACCATTGGGACCTACCCCAGTCAATTCAGGATAAAGGAGGCTGGACAAATGAGGAAACAATCCAGTATTTCGTAGATTATGCGAGGATCGTGTTCCAGAATTTTCCAGACGTGGATTACTGGATAACGATTCACGAACCAAAACAGGTTTGTAGAGGAGGATATGGCAATGGGAGTTTGGCCCCCTTCATTTTCGACAGTGGAAGAGCTGATTATAAGTGTGCTTATGTAATACTGAAGGCACATGCTGCTGTTTATCATATGTACAAGAATGAGTTTCCAGATTCGAAAGGTGAGTTTTGTTGAGAAAAATTGTGACTAATTGCAATTAGGAGTTTTTCTCTAAATGAGTTGGATACATTTTCGTTTTTCTGGCTTGAACCGGTTTTCTTGAGATTTTCAGTTAATGGTACTCACGAATTTCGATAAGTAGGATTGGTACCTTTTATTTAATATGCGATCTAAGTTCTACTAGAGGAAACATACCACACCAGAACAAAAACGTCATCGGAAGATGATAAAAACTGAATTTTTCATCTCAGTAACTGGTATTTACCAGAGCATTACCCCAAGTAATGATATTCATTGAAAGAATTCTCAGTTCAATTTTTTTTGAGGATCAAACACAAAAACTACAGGAATATACTTGAGTCGCTCTAAATAGCCTGTAGTTTTGAATTCGAATCGCTGAAGATTATGCGGTTCGGAAACATTTATCTTTTTGGAGAAAACTGATGCCTGGGTTTTCGTAGGTTTTAATCGAACCTGGTTACTTTCACCTCAGATCGAAATCACCTCTAGATCCTCGTTAAGATATTCAACTTCCTGCTGTCGGTGAAGATGTGTATCCGCCAAGGCCGTAGCCAGGGGGGAGATCAAGGGGGATTGATCCCCCCCAAAAGTTCTACAAGCAACGGCCATCCAAAAATTATATCAAATACAATGATTGCCTTGTTTAAACATCACAGGAGACATGAGAATAACACCAACTGCGGCAATGGAATTAATTAGTGGTCTGTCCCCTCTGGACCTGTACGTTAGAAGGTTGTGTTAATGACCATGTTACGATTGCACACGGCTGGTGTAAACCTCGAAGTAGGAATGGGTCAATTGAGGCTGAGCCCATGGCGGAAGCGCACACTGCGCAAACTCTGCTGCAGGCAACCAGTGATGCAATTGTACCCATGTTTGTGTTTAGTGAACCCTACAAAATACAAATAAAACAGAATACAAAGTCAGATGCTACAAATGCAATACGCATATATACATACGGCTCAAAAACCAAAGGAGGCTCAGGATTGGGAGTGTACTCCAGATCTAGCGATTTTGGTTGTTGCTTGTATGTTATTTCTTTGTAATTTCAGGTTTTTGTTCAATGAAATTGTTATTTTCGGTTAATCTTATTAATTGTTTTATTGTTTTTTTCAGGGTTTTCAAATCAATTTATATTATATTAGACAATGAAACTCGGAACTGATGAAATACATCAAAAAGAAAGCTAAACTACGCGAGAAGTTCAAGAAAACTGGGAATATGCAGTACAATTACGAATTCAAGAGCCTTAGACCTGCCATCAAAAACTAAATCAAAGCTGCATATGATATTTATTTAAATTCTATACAAGAATCTGTAGTATTTAATCCTGAATCATTGTGGTCATACGTACATTCCAAGAATACAACCTCCCGTATTCCAGGTAGGATGAAATATGATGGCTTCAATATTGATTCTCCAGATGAAATTGTAAATAGTTTTGCAAATTTTTTCAGAGTATATATTCATGCCCCGCAGTTGATGAAAATACTTTGCATCTATGCTTATCAAATTGTTTTTATAACACACTGGTCCTGATAAGATACCGTCCTTTTTTGTAAAAGATTGCATCGGTGTATTGGTCTATCCCTTACTGACACTTTTCAATCTTGCAGTTAAAAATAATAATTTTCCTGTATTAAGGAAGGTATCACCAGTTTGTCCCATTTTTAAGTCTGGAGATCCACCTTATATTCGGAATTATCGTCCTATCTCAATCCTATCGAACTTTGCAGAACTTCTCGAAATTGTCATCTAGTATCGCGTACATTCCTCAGTTCGTAATATCATTTCTCCGCAACAACATGGATTTATGTCAAACAGATTCTCCATAACAAATTCAATTGTATTGACCCAAAATGTTAGTGATGTCTTAGATAATCGGGGTTAAGTTGATTTCCATAATTCAGCAGTACTTTTCATTAAATCCTACTTACTTTAACGCGAACAGTTTGTATCTTATAACGGCTATGATACTTTTTATTGGAGTACCTCAGGGGTCGAATCTCGGACCACTTCTGTTCTTATTATTTATTAATGACCTCAGTAATTATGTCGATTGGAATAAATTATTTTTTGCAGATGATTTGAAAATATATTTACCTGTCGAAATTATCGAAGACTGTAATACATTGCAACGACAGTTAGAAAATATAAAGACTTAGTGTGAAGTAAACAAACTATATCTTAATGCATCCAAATGTAAAGTAGTGTCTTATAGTAGGAAAATGTTAGTCATCGAGTACAATTATCGAGTAGTCACCTATCTTTAGCATTTGCAATAATTCCATTTTAGTTTCAAATTTGTGTGATATCAATTTTGATTTCCTAGAATATATTGTTGACACTGCATCTCAGTATTGCATGGAGAATATTTAATTTTCTGGTATAGTTATTTTTTATTTTATCCTATTATTTTATGATTTCTCAAATTGTAACTTTGTAATTATTAGGATCGATATTACTTTTTTTAACATACTTAGTTCACCTTGTAAATGATTTTCAACTGTTGGGTAATAAAGGCTATTATTATTATTATTATATTCCAGGATCTAGACCTGATAATATACTGAGTAGATGCATATATGAGACAACACACAGAAGACGCGTTTGACAAAATTCGAGCGCACGACAATTCAGCGCTACGCGATCTACACAATGCACTAAACAGGGATGACCCCAGATTCCGAGAGAGAGATGAACATAGAAGACCAACCAAGCAGAACCAACGTCCACCTCCAAGAGTCGCTGTCAGGCGGTTCCTGTAAGTATAAATTTTTTTAACAGATAACAAACACTTCCTTTTCAGGTTCAACGAGAAACACTCTGCCTCGATTTCTTTTCAAACCATAGTCTCGGGTTAGTTTTTGGGGACCCCATGCAAAAATTCAGTTAGGAAAGCCAAAATAAAATAAAACATTAGGTTAGAAAGTAAAAGCACCTAAAGGCTGACTTTCGACCGAAGGATCTTGCTCAATCTTGCTGAAGTGCCTATCAGCAAGGATTGAGGACCGCTCACGTAAGAGCGGGGGTGAAAGGAATGGGATATCAAGTTTTACTCAAAAAATCTATTTCGTGGGGAGAATTTTTTATGCCAAGACACTCATCCCGGGAGAGGCATGGGGTTTTTTGAAGCATTCAACAACTCTATTTCTATCTTTAGCGCCACTCCAAAAAAAGGGCAAACTGCGGACACGTGTTTCTGGCTATTGGCCTCATCAGCGCGGTGCAGCCAAGTGCAAAGATGGGTAACACTTGTTCGCCGAGAAAAGAGAACAACATATACCAACGGAGTCAACAACAGGAGCCAACCATACATTTGTGGTTCCAGCTAGAAGACCTAGAATGCCCAGGCTACATCTAACATCTCCGTAGGCGGCTATAGCTACCTGCGTGACATCCGTGTCCAGGATATAAAGAAAGATATAGATGCTATCGAGTATCTATGATATAAATCAAAAATGAAACAATTCGTCGACACAAAACTTCAACTGGTCTAGGTGTTACTTTTGATTCATCCCTCTCTTTCAATAAACATATTGACACTACTCTAACAGCAGCTTATCGCATGTATGGATTCTTAGTTAGAAATACAAAAGACTTCGAAAAAGCTTCAATATTGAAGTTACTTTATTTCACTTTTGTTCGATCTAGGCTGGAATATGCATCTGTCGTGTGGAGTCCTTACTATCAGGTTAATATAAATCAACTAGAAGCCCTACAGAGACGTTTCTTGATATATATGTCTTTTAAACTTAAAGGCACGTATCCTACTGTAAGAATACCCTATTATAAATTGCTTGTAACTCACAATTTTTTCAGTCTCGTGGTTAGGTGTGCTGGTCACACCTGCTCTTAACTGTTACATATGTTACAAATCCAAATACATTTTTTAGCTAACTGACAGTTCTGTTTTTAATTTTTTTTTTTTTGGTTTCCCAATTTTTTTTTTTTAGTTCCTTTTTTTAAAGGCCCTTTTTCTTCTTTTTTTTTTATTTGGTTTCTTCTTTTGGATTGTTTTTTGAATTAATTAATTAAGGGGGCAACCCCCCGCCCGTTTGTTACGAGGTATGTAGTCACAGATGAACGTATTGTGAGAACATCATTATGATGCTGTCCAATAATTTGTGAAAGTAAAACATACTTTTACATATGCAAATAAAAATATTTGACGTATAGATTCACAGAATATTCTCTGGGTTTCACCCAAGGCTAGATATGAATCGATTGTCTGTTATCTTTTCGAGAGGTATGCTAACACTGAGAAATCATACGACAATTGGTAAACAATTTGATACCATATACCATTTGTATCACAGTTCAGTTGTATTATCGAAAATAATGAATTCAGAAATGGATGGTGTCATGGCGATAGGTATAATTTTAGTCATCAACAGGTGAGGCAGTTATTATTTATGTCAAACATAAGTATATTTTATGAATCCGCAAAATATTTTTTGAAAATATTTTGCGGATTCATTTTTTTCCATTGAAACTGTTCATTATTGAATTTCATGTGTGTGTAATATAATTTATTCTTGAAGTGGTGTGACAAATCACACGAATATGGCGATTATTCACTATGAATTCATGATTTTTGGGCGAATTTCATGAATTAACAGAATAAAATTCGACAAATTCATTCAATTCGATAGAATTTTAGAAATGATTGAAATGAATTGATTTAAACTGCGAATTATCTTAGGTCTTTTTCACCTTGAAATTCATCGTGAATGTTGTGTTTTCTAGATATTGAGATGAAAAACGATGGTAAAGTTTTGTTGAGAGTTGTTTTCACTACTCCAATGGATATTTTGAATAGACTTACAATTCACTGTAGATATAGCTAATCTATAACAAATCTTTGTCTGGCAATCCTCATTTCAAATTGTATTTATATCTCAATCTGTTCATCACATATAATCATTTTTCAACTGGGAGTATTTTCAGTACGTTGTCAATTAACCACTTCATATCACT